CAGTTAAATTCAGTCTATCTAGGAGGCACAGTTTATATGGATAGTATTTATTTTTTACAATAACAAGCTGGAATGAAAACAAGAAAAATTAAATAAAAGTAACGACTTTCTACTTCTTGTTTTTTAAATGTAAGGAGTAGAAAGTACAGATAACTGTGTGAAAATGTAAGAAGTAGAAGTAAAAACTAGGCTGAAAAATAATTTCTCAAGTAAAGTACAGATACCCAAAAAATTCTACTGAAGTACAGTAAAAAACGTATTTGTACTTAGTTACTTTACAGCTCTGTTTTACAGTGTATGAGAATCTGGATTTCTAAGTTTAAAAATAGTCTCCAGGAGCAGGTTTTTACGTATCTGCCAGGCAGCCAGCCACTTCCCTCGTGCTGGGAAACCCATTCCTGTGGTCTGTTCACGCCATCAGTTGGTCTCCTCTGCTCGACACATCACCTGTTTTTTTGCACATCTGACAGAGCGATGCGCTGTGTTGCAGGAGCAGGATGTACTGTATCATTTCACAGACGAGTTGGGTTTTCTGCATGAAACTCTCCTGCGTGGTTAGAGGGTTTTAGGACAGGTTGAACTGATACGTAGGTGGATGTGAAACTCCTCTCTGCTGCTTGCCTCCTACACTTAACTCGGTGGCAGTTGGAAGAAAGAAATAAACAAAACTGAGGTAAACAAGTTTTTWAAAAAGGAGCGGCGCAGTGAGAGTGAGTGGTTGTTTCCGAGTCCCTGTGATGGACATGCAACCCCACCCCTCTTGCAYAGAGACTGCTGGAGGTAGGTAGCAGCTCCCTGCAACCCCCCCACCCCCCAAAAAAAGCTGGATGGATTGGAGCATTAAAGGCAACGTGTCACTGAGGGCAGAAACATAAAATAAATGACTGAAAGGGAATACAGAGCTGCTGCAACCACCAGAGACAGAAATCAAAACTTTCGGTAAGAGATGAAAGAGCAAGCTCGGCTGATTGATGTCCTGTTTTGATTAAGATCACGCTACGCTGAGCTGCTTTCTATTACACAGTTTGGGAGGGGGGCTGCAAAACAAAGCAGMATTTCCAGTCAGAACCAGAAACAAAATCTGTATGACACAGACACCAGCTGACAGCTCAACCACAATATCTGCAATTTATGACCAAGAACACAACGTTTGCCATTATACAGTATCAGGGACAGACCTCATTTCAGTGCTGCTGGCAGTTTCAGTACTTAGACTGGATCATTTTCACCTGCTTACTACCAAATTAACAGTTTCATGCCAAAATTTGTACAAAAGACAACTGTAGCAAATTAATATACTAAATATAAATAATTTATTAGAGCTTTTCATCAACTAAAAGTCTTAAATCAAAGTTACAATAAGGAGTTCAGATCAAAGCATTGCAGTTTCACTTTCTATAGACCCCAACTGAAGGATTTAAATGTGAAAAGGAAGGATTTAAAAGCGTTTGCCCATTGATCAGTCTTCAGATTTTTTTTGTTGTTGTTTGTTTGTTTGTGTTGGCGCGTGGCCTGCGCAGAGCTGAGGTCGGTGCAGGAGAGCGAGGAGCTGATGGTGAACGTGGCCGCCGCCATCAACAACCTYTCGTTTTACCAAGAGGAAAGCTCCGAGATCCGACACAGTCGGCTCGCCATCGCAAAGCGTGAGACCAGGAGCTCGGGGAGAAAACCACCAGACCAGTTCTGCTACATTTTCCTCTTTGTCACATTTTTTTAATTTTTATTATTATTTTTTTCATGTTTTACAGTGATGTTGAAGATGATGTCTACCTCGAGTATGGAGGCCGTGCTCGAGGCTGCTCGTGTCTATGGAAACTTGTCCCAGCACAGGGACGTGCGAGACTTTATTATGCAAAATAAAGGTATATGTCCACCATTACTGCACACRGGAAACATATTCTCAAACTTTGCTTTACTTTATGTCCAGTCTTTTTTTTCTTAAACCATTTGCAAACTGTGTAAGTTAGTTTCACCCTGTACTTTAAAGAGCAACACTTGGACTCCTGTTATAGATGTGTTTTTTTATTATTATTTATGATGATGAAATGCCCTCTCTAATGAAGGGGCTTTCACAGAGTTGCTCATAACATARACCACCATGGATGCTGCTTCTCATCTATGTGCTGATAACAAGCTGCCTGACTCCTTTCCTCTTCGGTAGCGTCCATAATCAGGGTTCCCCCGGATCCTTAAAAAGTCTTAAAAGGCCTTGAATTCATCAATCCAAAAATAAGGCCTTAATTAGCCTTAAAAGGTCTTAAATCAATCCTCAGAAGTCTTAAAAACGTTAACACATTGTAGAATGACTGTAATTTGTATCAAATATTAAAAATAATTGGTAACATTAATTTATTTTTAAAATATTCCCATTCAGATGTTCCCCTCTGACACCACTTCACATGGAAATATCTCATTTAAGCTGCCCATCCGTGGCTTCGATCATGTGAAACCACCTGTAACTCTTGTAAAATTCACATCCCAGTCATTAGAATGGTGTTATTTAACGTCTACGTTTGAACATGCAGAAACACAAACAGGAAGCGCACTGATAAACCAGGTCATTGCAGCAAACAGCTTTGCAGAAAGCTGAGTGTTTAAGCAAGCTCAAGACTTTTGAACACACTCCCGTGTGCCGGTGTGTGACGTTGAAGCCAGGTTTATCTGCAAGGCCAGCTCCGCCGAGCGTCAACATGCCCACTGACTCTGCTGATAGTGGTGAAATTATCTCCCTCTCCCACGCTCCGTCATCTTTCTCTCCTCCTCAGTGCACAAGTTTGCGGTCGCCCTGCTTGACTCAAAGAGAGCCGAGACGTGTCTCTCMGCCTGCGGGGTCCTGACCAACCTGGCTCAAGATCCTCCCAACAGACTCTGCCTCGCACTAGAGGGGGCCTCGGCCAAGTAAGAGCAAAAGCATTCAGAGATTATAGCATCTGTGTCTCCTGCAGATGTTTTTTTTTTTTTTTT